TGGGGGTGCTGCCCCCCCACCCACTTCCCTATCCCTCGCCTCCCCCCAGCCCCACTAAAACGTCACTGATTTGGGCAGCTTTGCCAGGGGAGGAGACCCTGATAGGAAACTGTTCTCTGAGTGGGACTTGACAACCTGTGCTGATAATTTTGGTTTGGGGCTCAGGGTGGGTTGTGGGGTTTTCAGTGCATTTAATGGTTTCTGGAGGCAAAAATCCTCCTCCGGGTCCAGCGCATGAGGTGGTAGCATGGAGATGGCAGGCAGGGGATGTCCAGTCTCCGGCAGAGGCAATGCCACCTGCTTTCTGTTCAAGAAGTCCTGCTCCATGGCATGGGCCAGGTGGAGGGGAGTGGTGGTTTTGATAACGGTGTAGGGGCTGTTCCCCCCCACCTTGGGGGACGGCGCCTGCTGGAAGGGGCAGCCCTCACGCAGCCCCGCTGCCTCCGACTCGGTGCCGGATAAGATGGGCACGCTGCCGCCCGCCAGCCCGTATGCAGGCAGCGCGCCCAAGCCCTCCGGCCAGTGCGTGGTGCTGGTGGCACTCCCTGGCCTGTTCTGCTGCAGGCTGGCAAGCTCCCCCGTGGATGCAGCTTTGGATGCCAAGCACTTCAAGTCTGTTTTGTCCAGCAGCGCCGCTCTGCAGCGCTTCTCGGCCGTCTCCTTCCCGTGCTCGCTCTCAGGGGAGCCATCGTGCTGCGATGCGCCAGAGAGCCGCTGCCAGCCGCCCGGCAGAGGATGAGGGGGTACATTGAGCGCTTTCTCTCTGCAGAGGGAAGATGCTTGTTCTCCTGCCAGTGTGGCAGCAGGATTTAGTTTTGCCTGCCATACCACATGGTCCGTAGTAGAAAGCTCAACGGTGCTCGAGTTGGGAGGACTCAGTGTGTTTTGGAGAGAAGAGTCCAAGGAATCATGCTTGGCTGGAGCGGGGAGGGAGACTGACTTGTGGTCCACCGTGGCACAGCCAGGAGCAATAAGAGGCTGCTCCACCGTGGGCAGGAGGTGATGATGGGCCTGCATCTCACTTGCCTTCAGAAGACATGGCGAGAAAGCTCAACGGTGCTCGAGTTGGGAGGACTCAGTGTGTTTTGGAGAGAAGAGTCCAAGGAATCATGCTTGGCTGGAGCGGGGAGGGAGACTGACTTGTGGTCCACCGTGGCACAGCCAGGAGCAATAAGAGGCTGCTCCACCGTGGGCAGGAGGTGATGATGGGCCTGCATCTCACTTGCCTTCAGAAGACATGGCGGCTGCCCATCGCCAGTGGGCTCCACCTGTCCCTCCTCTCCCAGCAGCCCCCTGCCAGGAGGATGCAGGTGGATGTCCATTGCTTCAGCTGCTTCACTGCCCTGGAGGGTGGGAGTCCTCACCTCTGTTGTTCCTCCTGGAGCCCCAGGACCTCTGTGTTGATGGGGCTCCCTCTCCAGAGGGTGCTCGCCCACCC